GCTCGAGGTTGCTGTGGTCAGGCTTGGCGGCGCGGGAAATGGGGCGGCGCGAAGGCGTGGCAGCGACCTGATAATCTCAGGAGGGCCAGATGAGTCAAGGCGTTCCTCCCTGCAGTCTGGGCCTCGCAGGGGCTTCTCGTGGCCACCTGGATCCGCCTCGAAAAACGGGCCAGGGTGGACCCTGGTAGGGGTCCAGGGACCAGTTTTGGGCGGATTTGGGCCGGCCGGGAAAGCAGACATTGTCTCAGCTGGCCCCCCGTCGATATAAGGCACCCCGCTTCCTAGAGGCCCTCTTGCCATCCAAGAGGCGCTCTTTCTAGGCCTCGAAGAAGGGGGCGATCCCTCCCAAGAGCCTCCCCTGCCTTCTCAGAAGGCCGCCGCATCGCCCCGCCTTGCTTCGTAAGCCGTGAGCTTGCAAGCTTTCCGCGATGGCTCGCGGTTTTGCAATCGTGGCTTCTCTGCTGCTTCGCCGATCTGCTACGTTTTTATGACGACGAGGCGTACATCGTGTCTGCCTTTCAAGGTGATGCAACTTTTCTCTGGGGCTCTGCCACCGCTGCCGCCCAGATTGAAGGAGCCTGGAATATCAGTGGCAAGCAAGCATCGAGCTGGGATGACTTCTGTCACAGCATTCCGCATCGTGACACCACTGACCCCGACACTTTCAGCAAGACGTGCGGTAGCATTCCTGAAGGTCAGAGTGGGTCTAGGTGGGTGACGTTGGACGTCACGGATGATTTCTCTCACACGTACAACGCTGATATTGACTTGCTCTCTGGTGAATATGGCATGAACGCGATGCGTATGTCTATGTCCTGGCCTCGCCTGATGCCTTTAAACAAGTCTTCGGGGAAGCATGAAGTGAATCCAGAGGGCGTTAAGTTTTACAAAGACGTTTTCGCGATGATGAAAAAGCATGGCGTTACACCTTTCGTCACTCTCCACCATTGGGATGTTCCAAATGACCTTTCCTGGCTGGAAGATGACATTGTGAATCATTTTTTGGATTTTGCAAAATTGTGCTTCAATGAGTTCCCTGAGATCACCAATTGGGCAACTGTCAACGAGCCCAACTCACTCTGCTCCGGAGGCTATGGGGCAGGCGTTTTCGCACCTGGCCACAAGAGCACCACTGATCATCTAGTGTGTGGGCACCATATCCTGCAGGCACATGCGCGATCAGTCGATTACTTCAGGAAATCTGGCAAGAAGGGCCACATTGGAATTGTTCTCGATTGCACGTGGGCATATCCAAATACAGACAGTGAAGCAGACAATAGGGCAGCCGCGTACGACCGAGACAATCTAGTTGGTTTCTGGGCTGAGCCTATCTTCAAAACCGGTGATTACCCACAGAGCCTGAAGGACTTCTTCGGTGCGAAGATGCCTGTCCTCACAGACGAAGAAAAATATATGCTGAAGGGTTTTGCCGACTTCTGGGGCCTCAACACGTACGGTGGCCATGTTGCCGTATGGAACGACAAGAAGATTGAAGATTACGAGCCAGGCGATAATGTCGCCGGACGTTATTCATTCAGCCCTTGCTCTGCTGGGGCAGACCAGACGCACGTCGACGATCATGAGTTCGAGTGTGGTGCAGCTTCAGGCTGGATCTGGGCAAAGCCGGACTCCATGCGGAAGTATTTGAATTGGGTGAAAGACTACTACGGTGTCGAACACATTTTCGTGACCGAGTTTGGAGTCGACGTTGCTAATGAAAGTGACATGCCCATGGATGAGGCACTTGTCGACACCTACCGCCAGGAGTATTACAAGCGGTATCTGAAGCAAATTGCTGTGGCAAAGAAGGAAGATGGTGTTGCCATCAGAGGAGTTTTCGCATGGTCGCTCATGGACAATTTTGAGTGGGCAGACGGCCTGAATTTCCGTTTTGGTATCACGTACGTCGATTTCAACGATTTGTCTCGCCATCCAAAGATGTCCGCGAAGTGGTGGACCAAGATGGTAGCCCGTATGAAGTCTGAACCACACCGCGACTCTCATACTACTAAGACTGTCTCTCGCCGTGGCTTTCCAGATTTAGTCCTTGACCGAAGCGTCCCCGGCCCGAGTTGGTCAGAAACAGGTACGTGTGTGCATGAGTAGAGCACACATGCGCGCGTTCAGAATATGCGTGACAAGTCATGCATCTACCGATGGATTCAAGTTTTTGTCTAACGCCTCCGTTCACAGCTACGATCGACATGCACGCGTATGCACATTCTCTGTACGTGCGTAGATTCATGTGTTGGGGCGGTCTCTTAGGTGCAGGTAATGGCTCGCACGCGCAGCGCAACACTCACATTCACACTACGTATTGCACCCATGCCATGTTATCCCAGTCGGAGCAAGGTGTAATTCAGTGCCCGCAGATGGCTGACTGATATCTAGATTGGCTCACAGACGAATTGATTGACCGATTGACTGACTGCCTGACTGACCGACGTCAACAGGCAGTTCGGGTAACGCATTTCCCCGCGGGCCTTCACACCCGCCAACTGCACCCGCAACCGCACTCGCAACCAGGGAGCACATTTTGGGCCGCCCACGGGCGCCCGCACCCGCTACGTGCACCCGCAACCCCACTCGCAAGCGCCACAGCTGGGGAACGCACTCTTGGGCCGCCCGCAGGCGACTGCAACCGCGCCTGCAGCCGCGCCCGCAAACGCACCTGCATCCCGAACCGCAGACCGCACCTCGCAGCCCCCGGCGCCCGCGCCCCCCGCCGCGCCCCCGACGGGGCCTGGGGCACCGCGCCCCGTGCCGCCCGCGGGCGCCCGCCACCGCAACCGCGCCTGGCACCGCAGCGGGAAGCGGGGAGCACGCTCGGGGCCGCCTCTTGGGCGCCCGCACCCGCAGCCGCAGTCGAACCGTCTTGAGGCCCTCTGGGCCCCCTCGTGCCATCTCAGAGCCGTCTTGGCGTCCTGGGGCCCTCTTGGAGCGTCTCGGGGCCGCGGCGCTCTGGCGACATTCTGGAGCCGTCTTGGGCCGTCTGGGAACTCTGCTGGGCAGTTTTGGGGCCCTGCAGAGGCCTTCTTTGACTTCGTTTGGGCCTTCTTGTGGCCCTCCTGCATTGAAGATCTGGTGCCCTCGAGCCGCTCTTGGGCCGTCTTGGACCATCTTGGACCCACCTCGAGGCCTTGAGGACAAATAAGAAACGACGAGGCGAGAACGCTCACATCATTTGTTGTCCTCAGGTTTGGGAGGGATGTTGGCACCCCGGGAGCTTCTTTGCAAGGCTCCGTGGCCATTTGGAGCCGCCTTGGAGCGGTTCTGGGAGCTTCTAGGAAGCCATCTTGAGCGATCTTGCTTTATCTTGAGCCATCTTGGGGGCCACCTTGGGCTTTCTTGAGCCCCCTTAGGGCCATTTAGGGCCTCTGGGGCGCTCTAATGTCTCGGGCTCGCCCCCATCCAGACCCAGGGGGCGTGGGTAGGGTGGAGGGGTCAAGCTACTCCTCGAAGGACGGCTTTCTCGCTCATTCCCGCCCGCCCTCTCGCCACACACGTAAGTAGCACCCGAGTTTCAGCGTTGACAAGAGTCGCCAGTGAATGAATAGCCAGCGGGAACACTTTGCATTTGTTTTTGACAGGGCTGGTGGGTCCCGCCGCATGGTCTAAGCGTGTGCTGCAATTTGTATGAGTTGTTGACAGGAATGGTGGGCACGTGCACGCGGGATTATATGAGGACACCTCCGTCGTCCCTGTCAAGCAAAACGAAGTAGTCGCGGAGTGCCCGACCATGATCCAGATTTAGCCAAATCGTGCATTTTGTATCGATATGTTGGACAGGGGTGGTGGGAAAGGGTGTCGGCATTGACCTTGGTTGGGACCCGAACGGGTGGGGGACGAGGTGCCTTTTTCCCCAATGTGGCTTGCCTAAGGGGTTCTTACTTGGTTAAAGGTTGGTGTCTCGGATTCTTACGTTGCCCGTTTCTCGGAGATTCCCCGTGTTCCTCGGGTTCCCGTGTTTCTCGCCCTCGGCGCCTCCGATTCTTACGTTGCCGTTGCTCGGAGGTTCCCTGGGTTCCTCGGGTTGTTTCCTCGGGTTCCCCAGGGTTCCCTTGGTTCCTCGGTTTCTCCATGTTCCCCGAGTTCCCCGGCGGGTGCCCCGGGTTTCCCGGGTTCCTCGGGTTCCCTGTTGCCCAGTTCCCCGGATTCCCCAGGTTCCTCGGGTGGGTTTCCCAGGTTCCCCGGGTTCCCCGTGTTTCCGGGGCTCTTCGGGTTCCCCGGGTTCCCCGCCCTGAGTGCCTCAAACAATGCGAAACAATGACAAACAATGCCAAGCAATGCCAAGCAATGCGAAGCAATGCCGAGCATGGCCAAGCAGTGCCAAGCAAAGCTAAGCGATGCCAAGCAATGCCAAGCAATGCCAAGCAATGCCAAGCAATGCCAAGCAACGCCAAACAATGCCACTCAATGCCAAGCACTGCGCGCATGCAATAAGAAGTGTTCCTCCAGTTGGGGTGGCGCCTGGTTCATCTTTGTTTGGTTTTAAAGATATACTGATGCATATATACAAATACATACATACATACATACATACATACATACATACATACATACATACATACATACATACATACATACATACATACATACACACATACACACATACATACACACACATCCATACATCCATACACATACATTCATACATACATACATACATACAGGCATACATACATGCATGCATACATACATACACACAGATATACATACATACATACATACATGCATACATACATACATACATACATACATACATACATATCCCTAGGTATATATGTATGCATAAATGCAGATGTTGCCGCGGGTAGTGGTAAACCCCTTCCCGAGAGAAAAATGGCGGTTGGAAAAGCAAGAGCGCTAGACCACCTACGTCCAGAGGGCTAGCGGGATGTTGGGTTTATTCTTTGTAGCATCTGAAAGGGATTGCGAATGGATGCCCCTTGTGAAGTCTTGCACCAGGAGATGCAAGTTTCTTTGGCCGTTCAAAGCCGGATGCAGTGATGGATGCATCTCGCTGTGACGATTAATCTGTAGGAGGTGGAGGAGGAGGCGGGAGGAAGAGTCATTTCCCTGGACATTCGCGCCAGATCCTCGGACTGCGCAGCATGCTTGGCTCATACGCGTGGAGCCCGAGGTGCAGTTTGGTCCCCCAAGGGGGGGCCTCTGCATGCACGAGCGAGTGAGCGCCCGCTCGTGCACACGTGCGTATGCACGAGCGCTTGCGCCAGACACACGCATACAGTTCCCGCCTTGCGCGCCCCGCTCGTGCCTTACCAGCCGTCTGTTCCAGCGCTGGGCAGGGTCCTCTCCTCCGACGTCGCATGTGTTGTTCGTGGCGTCGATCCCTGGTGATCTCGACCCCTTCTCCAGGACCGGCTTTTCACCCTTGGGGGTGTTTTTTTCCACGGGTGCCCTCGTCGACTATTACACGTAAGATTGACCCTTCATTGGAGTGACCATTGGTGCGCGCCCACTGGGGCCCCTGATTGTCGCGAGGGGTACGGTAGTAGCGTCTTGCGCGCTTGTGTCTGGATCCCCCACGGCCCTCACAGAGCCGCGCTCCGAAGATAACTATTACCCAGGGTCACTCTTGCGTGTAGCCGATTGCGAAGGCCTTACCGCCAGCGCCGCCGACCCTGAAGGGGGACGACGATGAAGACATCGACGATGAAACTATTCAAAAAGTGAAGGAATGGGATGGGGGGAGGAGAGGGGGACGGAGGAGGCGAAGGGGAAGGGGAAAAGGAGGGAGGAGGGAGGATCATGAGGAGGAGGAGGAGGAGGAGGAGGAGGAGGGATGAGGAACTGGACGGCGGAGGAGTCGCCATGGACTCGCCATCTACCAGGATGGGGCTGGTGTGTCGCCACTGAGACAAAGGGCAGCGCAGCAACCACTTGACTGTGTATACACCGTCGGGCTGCCGACGACGACGGCGACGCTGACGTGGGTCAGAGTCCTTGGGGATGCTTCTTGGGGTCTGGTTGAAACGCTCTTGCGTGCCATGGGGGACAGTGTACGGGTCTCTTGGGAGCCTTTTGGGGCCTGTTGGGGCTTCCCAGGGGCCTCTCGGGAGCAGCTTGGGGTCTCTTCGGGGCTTCTTTGGGGCCTTTTGGGGGCCTCTTGTTTTTTCCCGGGAGTGGAGCCCTCTGGGGCTCTGGGGGCGGTCTGGGAGGCCGCGTGGGCCGTCTTGGGGCGTCGGGAAGCGGGAGAGACGAGAACGCCGAAACAATTTTGAAAACCATTGGTGGATTTACGGTTCTTGTTCTTGAGGCACCCTTGGGACTGCTCCAGGAGGCCTGTTTGAGCGTCTTGCAGGATCCTCGGGCCGCCTGGAGGCGGTCCAGGCGTCTTGGACAGATCGTTCGGCGATTCGTTCGGCGATTCGGAGGCCCAGGAATGCCGTCTTGGGGCCCTCGTGGACCGCTCTTGGAGCGCTCCAGGGCGCTCTTGGGGCCGTCTTGGGGCCCTCTTGGGGCCCTCTTGGGGCTCTCTGGGGCCGTCTTGGGGCCATATTGAGGCCTCAAGAAACAATCGGAGGCGAAAAAGCGAGACGGCAACACACATTGATGTTCCTTACGTTTCTGAAGGATGTTGAAGGATCTTGGCCTCTTGGGGGGGTCCTCGGAGGGCTCGGAGGGCACTTGAAACCCTCTTGGGGCCGTCTTGAGGGCTCTTGGATGCGTGTCGGAGGCTATCATGAGCCACCTTGAGCTATCTTGAGCAATCTTGGAGGCTATCTTGGGGTCTCTGGGGCCCTCCTTGAGCCATCTTCGAACATCTTGGGCGCTCTAACCCCTCGGGCACCACCCGACCAGACGCAGGGAGGGGGGGAGGTAAACCTTCCCGACCAGAGGGAGGAAAGAGGGTGGAAAAGGAAACGCCCTAGACCACCTGCGCCCAGAGGGCTGGTGGGATTTCGCTTTGGCTGACGCGCTTGAGGAGGAGAACCCAGGAAAGGAGAGAGGAGCGGCGACGGGCACAAGGAAAGAAAAGCGCAGGGAAAGAGGACGACCGAGACGACGATGAGAGCGAATGACGGCGACGACGACTCGAACGGAAAAGCCCCCCACACACGCCGACAGGGTCGGCGGATCTGGCTTCGAAGAAGAACCACCAGCGTACGCACAAACGCTTGGTGTCCCGCGTGGCGGTCCTGGGGAAAGGCGCCAGGGTCGGGGTTGCCGGTGCCGACCCAGGAGCTCCGCGCGGAGCTCCGACGGTCCATGCTCGTATGATTTCTGCTTCCTCCAGGCACCACCCGACCAGACGCAGGGAGGGGGGGAGGAGGTCGGGTGCCCCCACTGGGTTTCCAAGCCAGCCACCTACTGTCGCCAGCCCCGTCCATCGCATCCTTCGACGGACCGCAGGTGTAAAGTGGCTGACGAGGCCGATCTGCCCCACCCCCGCACCCCAGGGCCGAAAAAGCTTCAACACACAGCCAGCCGTCGCGATCGCCTCGTTCCGCCCGCAATCCGAGGGGAGGAGGGAGCCTCGCCCGCCCGCCCGCGAGCATTTTGCCTCTCGGGGTGGCGCCTCGCTTGCCAATGCCAGGGGGGCCAGCGGCAACGTTAGGGGGGATAGGCCCAGGGGGGGAAGGCTCAGTGGGTTCGAGATTCGAGGTTTTCGGGCGTTTTCCTTGGTTCTGGGTGGCTTTTCAGCTTCGGAGTGCGTTCCAGCGGTTGCGCCTCGCCGAGGGCGTTCCGGGGGTGCCCAGATCGTCCCAAACGGCCGCTGAAAACGATTACGGGCAACTTGGGGGGGGGATACGCTCGGAGGGGGGACGCATCGACCCCGAATCGCCCATTCATCATGGTCGATAGGAGCCCGTGCGCCCCACCCCGCCCAGTAGCGTGTGGACTCGCCGTCGGGGGCCTATCGCCGATCTATCGGCGATGTGTCGCCGATTCCAGGTCGCTGTGTCCCCACGTGCGCCGGCCCCCCCCTGTCAGTCTTTTCATCTGGAGGGAGGAGGGGGGCTCGCGCGCGCAAGCGTTTTGCCTCGGGGTGGCGCCTCCCTTGCCAAGGAGTCGGAGTGCACCGCCCATGCAGCTGCACCGCGATCCTGGCCAGGCCGACCCTGGGGCCAGGATCGGTGCACGCGCCTTCCTGCTGAGGCGAGGAGGGCGTACCTGACCTGTCCTGGGCCCAGGATCGGCCTGGCCAGGCGCGGTGCAGGGGAACAGCTGGCGTCCTGCGCAGGACGTCGCCGGAGAGATCCCCCCCCGCGTGCGCGCCCGCGCCCGCAGGCGCAGGAGCCCCCGGTGCTTCCGAGGGGGCCACCCGCGGACATGTCGCAGCTGGAGGCTCCTGCTCGGGCCGGCGGGATTGGGGGGGGGGCTTGCGTGTGCTATTCTCGGAGGAAGGCCAGTCGAGACAACAGCGCCATCCCAGGCGTTTCTCGTCCTTTCTCCTCCTGGAACTTTCTCGCCGCCACGGCTGCTGGAACCGCGATGAAGTACGGGCCAGGATGGACCCTGGGAGGGGACCGATGTTGTACGCATTTGGGCCAGCCTGGGGAGCCGAGGTTGTCTCAAGCGGCCCTCCTCCCATATTCAGACGGGCAAGAAGTCATGATAATGAGCGTTCCTCGATTTCTACAGTTCCCAGGATTTCTCAGGCTTCCTATTGTTTTACACGGGCTGCAGAAAAGAAAGCCGCTAGACACTCCATAAACTGCTGGGACGTCTCCTGAGCCTACCGTATCATGACATCATGATCCTCCCAGATATACGTCGCCGTGGCGAAAGTGTTCACCGATCCAGGTTCGTCGTGACTGCGATTTTGCGGTGTAGGCGGCTAGCGTTTGCTCCGCGTGAAAGCGCGTCCTGTGCGATGAATTGCACGATTTGATGCGGAGTAGCAGTTTCCAAGCTTTTTCCCAACCCTCCTTGGTTGGGTATTCGTTTTGAATCGAGGACTGCGGTCGCATCCTCCTTCTCCTCCCCCCTCTCTCCTGCCTCCTCCTGTCTTGCCTGCAGGGGGTTGCGATCTGCGAAACTGACGCCACTTTCGAGGGCTGCTGGGGGTTCCAGCACAGTGACGTCCTACGCGGATTCAAATTAGACCTCGCCATCCCTGGGGGGCTGCGATCTGTGAATCTGTCGCCACTTTCGAGGCTTGCTGGGGGGTCCAGCACAGTGACGTCCTACGCAGACCCAAACAGGACCTCGCCATCCCTGGGGGGCTGCGATCTGTGAAACTGTCGCCACTTTCGAGGGCTGCTGGTGGGTCAAGCACAGTGACGTCCTACGCAGACCCAAACGGGACCTCGCCATCCGTGGGGGGCTGCGATTTGTGAATATGTCGTCACTTTCGAGGGCTACTGGGGGGTCCAGCACTGTGCCATCCTACGCAGACCCAAAGGGAACCTCGCCATCCCTGGGGGGCCTGCGATCTGTGAAATTGGCGCCACTTTCGAGGGCTGCTTGGGGGTCAAGCACAGTGACGTCCTACGCAGACCCAAACGGGACCTCGCCATCCGTGGGGGGCTGCGATCTGTGAATCTGTCTCCACTTGCGAGGCCAGTTGGGGGGTCCAGCACAGCGACGTCCTACGCAGATTCAAATAGGACCTCGCCATCCCTGGGGGGGCTGAGATCTGTGAAGCTGTCGCCACTTTCTAGGCTTGCTGGGGGGTCCAGCACAGTGACGTCCTACGCAGACCCAAACGGGACCTCGCCTTCCCTGGGGGGGGCGCGATCTGTGAAATTGTTGCTATTTTCGAGGCCTGCTGGAGTGCCCGCATAGTAGGTAACTGCCGCAGATTCAAATTAGACCTCGCCATCCCTGGGGGGCTGCGATCTGTAAAATTATCCCCACTTTCGAGGCCTGCTGGGAGGTCCGGCATGGTGGCGTCCTACGCAGATTCAAATTGGACCTCGCCATCCATGGGGGGGGGGTGCGATCTGTTTCACTGTCGCCACTTTCGAGGGCTGCTGGGGGGTCCAGCACAGTGACGTCTTACACAAATTCAAATTCGACCTCGCCATTGCTGGGTGGCTGCGATCTGTGAAGCTGTCGCCACTTTCGAGGGCTGCTGGGGGGTCCAGCACAGTGACGTCTTACGCAAATTCAAATTAGACCTCGCCATCCGCGGGGGGCTGCGATCTGTGAAATTGTCGCCACTTCCGAGGCCTGCTGGGGTGCCCGCATAGTGGTGAACTGCCGCATATTCAAATTAGACCTCGCCATCCCTGGGGGGCTGCGATCTGTGAAACTGTCTCCACTTTCGAGGGCTGCTGGGGGTCCAGCACAGTGACGTCCTACGCAGATTCAAACAGGACCTCGCCATCCTGGGTGGCTGCGATCTGTGAAACTGATTGTTGCCACTTTCAAGGCCTGCTGGGGTGCCAGCATAGTGGGCAACTGCCGCAGATTCAAGTTAGATCTCGCCATCCCTTGGGGGCTGCGATCTTTGACACTGTCGCTACTTTCGAGGCTTGCTGGGGGGACCCAGGGCTGCAGTTCTTTTCTCGCGGGCTGCCCGCGGACCTCGCGGCGCGCCTGCGTGCTCTTTGCTCCCGCGCTGAGAAGTGCCGGAAGGAGGCCCAGCTGCTGGCAGAGCAGCTCATCCTGCCGGATTTTTTGCATTGACTGCGCCTGCTTGCTGTGCCTCGAAACATGGCCCCCTGCTTCCGCTGCCCTCCTCTCGTCGTGACCCCTTTGCCTCCAGCCGCCTTTTTTCCTGCTGCTACATCTTATTGTTGCTGCCAGAACGCGATCCAGAGGTAGTATGCTTATGTTTTCCCTCCATTTCCCCACCCCTCTTTCCCTTGCGCCCCTGCGTCCCACTGCTGCCGCTTCCGCAGGTCAACTGTTGGCATTTGGGGTCCACGATGGGGCGCGAAGTGCGCGAGAGGTGTGCTGAATTTAAGCTCCATTGAAGGCCCCACCACGTTACCACCCCCTCATAAAGTGTCCCAAATTCAGGGGTTGGGTACGTCGCCAGGGTAATTGTGGCGTCGAGTGCGTGGAAAGCCAGAATGATACCGAACCAATCCGCCGGACGCCGCCAGCCGTATGTCATGTTAGTATTTTTCAAAAAGGACTGGATATTAAGAGGATGCAACGCTTGTCACGGCGATGCATTTCATTGAAATAGTTTTCTCCTTTAGCCATTGATGGTTGAATGGGGCTGGCCAGGAGGGGTAGCCAGCGGGGCTGGCCGGGAGGGTGACTGGAGGGCTGGCTGGCGTAGGCCGGCCGCAGGGCCGGCCGATAATTGGGATAGGTAACTCGTTGTTCTCGTAGCGTTGGGTAGTTGCTCTGTAGTGGGTTGCCCCATCTGTTGTTTCTCCTCCTTTCCCCGCCCTGCTATTTACCTCTTGCTCCGCCTCTCTTTCCTCCCTCTCTCCACCCCTGCCTCTCTCCCTCCCTTTTTCTCTTCCTCTGCACGTCTCTTTCTCTCTCTCTCTCTCTTTCTCTCTGTCTCGCTTCCCCTCTCCCTCTTCCTCACTCCCATTTTTTCATCTCCCTCTTCCTCCCTCTCCCTCTTCCTCTCCTTTACAGTTACACAATATGAAAATACTCTCCCACTTCCCCTGATGGCGTCCCGAAGATGGCCGACCCCCCCCCCCCGCGTACTGTTTTTTACACACAGGATTCCCGGGATACGGGTTTTCGCCTGCGTTTTTTTTCACAATGCTGCTCTCGCTGAGGCGCCGGCTTCATTTCTGCTCCCGAATCGTTCCGAATCGTGCTCCCGCTGCAGCGTGGGCCTCATTTTCGGATCGGTGTTTGGCCTCCGTCGTTCAGGATGGCGTTCTCGCCCCAGCGCGGGCCTCTTTCTCGCGCGCCCATCCGCCCGCCACCACCGCGCCGCACCACCACCACCACCACCACCACCACCACACCCACCACCACCACCACCACCACCACCACCACAACCACCACCAGCACCACCACCACCACCACCACCACCACCCACCACCACCACCACCACACCCACCACCACCACCACCACAACCACGCACACACGCACGCACGCACGCACGCACGCGCACCACCACCCACTACGCACGCGCGCGCGGAGCCACAGGTCCGCTACGACACGCGTCCGCGGATAGAGAAAATCAGCGCCATGGTAAGGGATGGGAGGGAGGGGTAGGACGTCAGATATGACGCGAGCGCACCTAGCTTGTCCCTCTCCCCTCTCTCCCTCTCGCTTCCCCTCTATCCCTCTTCCTGTCTCTCCCCTCTGTAGCCAAAGGAGGGTTCATTCTTTTCGGCCGCCCACGCAGCTTCGCCTCGCCAGCACGCGCGACACGAGCACGAAACCGAAACCGATTTCCCAGTTGTGGGCTTTCCGTGGCGCTGCGACCTCACGCCCTCGCCTCCGATTCATGATGTGTAAGTCTAGAGGGTGGAGGCGGGGCGCTGGTGGGGCCAGCCTGGCTCGCTCGCTCGGCCCCCCCCCTCAATCGGGCCCCCCCCTTTCTGGCGCATGGACTCCCTCCCGCAAGGTGAGGCCAGTGCCACCCGACTTGGCGACGGAGCGCGCCCCGTCTGTGCGGTCCGTCGCTGGCCTCGACTGGGTTCGCGTGGCCTCGCCTGCCCCTTTGCATGCAGCTCGACGCCGTCTTCCTCTTCCCGGCTCAAGAAGGGCCGCTCCGGCCGAACCCGCGGCCGCTCGGCGACAGGCGAGCCCAGCGGGCCGCGACACTTCCTCCTCCTCCTCCTCCTCCTCCTCCTCCTCCTCCTCCTCCTCCTGCCGCCCGCGTGCCCGCGCTAGGGCGCCGCCGCCGCCGCGGCCACCGCCGGTGCAGCCTGCGTCGGAGAGCATTACCTGTACACCTACACCGATCCAGGCCAGGCCGAGCCTGGGCCCAGGATCGACGCATCAGATGCCTTCCTGCCCAAGCCAGGAGGGCGTCTGCACCGACCCTGAGCCCAGGATGAGCCTGGCCAAGACTGGTGTAGGTGTATAGATGGGGCCCTCCTACTCTGCACCCTCCAGGGTCTGCTGCACCGCATCGATGCCACGGCAGGAGGCGGCGGGCGCGGCCGCGGTGGTCCATCTCTGCAAGCTCTTCGTGGGCGGCGTGCCGCAGGCCATGGGGGAGGGCGAGCTGGAAGGGATCTTCGCGCAGCACGCGCAGGTGCAGCGGGTGTGGCTCCAGCGGCACCGCAGCGAGAAGCAGGACAAGCAGCACCGCGGCTTCGGCTACGTCGTCTACCGCGACCCCGGCGCAGTGGACAGGCTGCTGGGCGACCGCCCCTCGAGGTTCTTGCAGCCCTCCAGCGGGGTGCGCCTCGAAGTGAAGCGCGCCCTGAGCTGCAGGGAGATCCAGAACGGCGCTTTGCGGGGCCCAGCGGCCCCTCCCCCGCCCGAGGCGTGCGCGGCCCCTTCGCGGCCCGAGCCGCTCTTCGCCAGCTGGCCGCCGCGGCAGGGCGGCATGGGCCCGCGCTGCTTCGCGCCGCGGGGCGGCTGGTGCCCTGCAGGGCCCGTCTGGCCTGGGGCTGGCGCGGCTCCGCCAGAGCCCGAACCGCTGCTTGGGCGCTGGCCGCCGCAGCAGGGCGGCGCGGGCTGGGGCCCAGCGGGGCCCTGCCAGCAGCACCCCGCCGCGGCCCTGGCGCCGCGGGCTTGCCGCCCCGTCGCCGGCGGGGCCCGGGACGCCTTGGCCCCGGAGGTGCCGTGCTCGCCCCAGCCTGGCCCCCTGGCCCAGCAGTGGGAGCCCGCGGGGCGCGGGGACGCCTCGCTCGGCAGCCTCCACGAGGCAGCGCTGCTGCGCTTCCGCCTCGGCGAGCCAGAGCCGGACTCGGACGAGGAGTTGGTGCCCTGCCACGTCGGACGCTGGGTCCAGATGCAGTAGGTGAGGGCTCCGAGGCTGCCCGTCGCCCGAGCCGCAGGTCCGAGTTCAGAAGGCAGAGGCGGCCAGGGACATTTACGCAATCGTGCGTGCAGTAGTTCGTGATGCATACGTGCTGCGCAAACTCAGAACGCATTGGTATTGTAAGCGACGATATGTTTTTGCTACGGCGCCGACCTCGGAGTTCGGCGGGCTAGGGGTAGCCACCACGCACACTTTCAGAGAGCGGTGTATTTGTGCAGCCTTTCTGCACTCGGGGCGCTCGTGCCGACTCGCCGGCGCTGCCTAAGCGTCGCGCCTTCCCGCGCACAAGCTGCGAGTCTAATTAGGGGGTGACTAAGGGACCTCGCTGCGTCCCTGCTCTCGGGATAAGGAAGACCTCCTCCGCCTGCTGTTCCCCTCTCTTCTCAGGGCTTTGTCCCACGGGGGGATCTTACAACATAAAGAACAAGCTTCCGTGTTGTACGTTGCCAGTCCATTCAAGAGATGTTCATTCATGTTAGTTGAATTTGAAGGCTTGCGAGCCTCTGGAAAGGTCTTCTTTCTGGAATGTCGGTGTCTAAGGCCTTGCCCCGTGTATCTCATCCGGGCATGTCTTTACTTCATCGGTTCGTCTTGAGGGCAGCGCACGGCCATCACGATTGCATTGCATTGCATGATTTCCTGTGTTTCGTTGCTTTGCCTTGCGCTGCGGGACTTTTCTTCGCTGTTGTGATGAGGTATTATGCTGTGCTTTAGAGCGCAGTGTTGTAATTCTATTTCGTGAAGTTCTTGATTGATGGCCCCGGGGTCCGTTGAAATTCTAGCGCACCGTGCGAAGTTGAGGGGAGATAGGGTAGATGATGGGGGACAGCAGAGACGGAAGGGATGAGGAGTAGCAGGAGGAGGAGGAGGAGGAGGAGGAAGATGAGGAGGAGGAGGAGGAAGATGATGAGGAGGAGGAGGAGGAGGAGGAGGAGGAGGAGGAAGGGAGGAGGAAGAGGGAGGAGGAGGAGGAGGAGGAGGAGGAGGAGGAGGAGGAGGAGGAGGAGGAGGAGGATGAGGAGGAGAGGAGGAGGAGGAGGAGGAGGAGGAGGAGGAGGAGGAGGAGGAGGAGGAGGAGGAGGAGGAGGGGAGGAGGAAGGAGGAGGAGGAGGGTGGAGGAGGAGAGGAGGAGGAGGAGGAGGAGGAGGAGGAGGAGGAGGAGGAGGAGGATGAGGAGGAAGAGGAGGAGAGAGAGGAGGAAGGAGGAGGAGGAGAGGAGGAGGAGGAAGAGGAGAATGAGGAGGAGGAGAGGAGGAGGAGGGGAGGAGGAGGGGAGGAGGAGGAGGAGGAGGTTCGATCCTTGCTACTCCGCCACGTCGTGGAAGCTTCTGCGGAAGAGCGAGCTGGTGCGAACAGGAGGAGGAGGAGGAGGAGGAGGAGGAGGAGGAGGAGGAGGAGGAGGAGGAGGAGGAGTCAGTCTCAGCAGGTGGGCATGGACAAGGAATCTGCCCTCATATTTCTCATGGCAGGGTCTCCTGTCGCATGTATCCTGCGCTGTCAGGGCGCAGGCCGCAGCTCGCAGATCTCATATGGGCCCCTCCTCCCCCACTGTCTCCCTTTTACTCTCCCTCCTCACGCTCTTCTCCTCTGCATCTATCTTTTCAATAACCCCTTCATCCTCGTCGTCCTACCTCTCTTCCTCGTCTCGCTCCTTCTCCTTGCCCCCCCCCCCCCCCTCCTGCGTGTCCCTCTTCGAGTGAAGCCTCTGCGGCGGCACGTGGCCTGCCTGTCTTCTCCTACCTGACTTGTTTCAAGCCGCCTCGCCCCCCTCCTCGTCCCGCTTCCTCCCCCCTTCTTCCTCTCCTCCGTCACATCGTTCTGGTTGTCTCGCAGTTCCGATGCGTACTTACATGTCTCATGCGTACCGGGTCCTGGCGGCCATGGCCGCACCCACCTAGCCTCAGTTACACCCCGGCAGCTGTCCGCTGAGCTCTCCGACCAGACATTCGACGATCTGACTTTTCAATCCAGGCTCCGAGGCCTCCCGACCTTTCCCTGGGGGTATCTTTTCGCTCCAGGGCCCGAGAGTGGCACGCGGAGAGGTCGGGATCGCGGAAGAGCGCCGGGATTGAAAACACCCACATCGCGGGACGTTTGGGCCCCTCTCCTGGAGGATAAGTGTTTTAATGTAGCCCCTCAGGTAATTGTGCACCCCGTGACAGCCCGTGACATTGGTGCAAGCACGTGCAACCGCCGTCGGGCAGTGCGACATAGCTCTGGTAGCGTGGCACCTCGTCGCGCACCGTACTGCCCAGCTGCCGAAGGCGCCCGATTCGCGAAGATGCAGCCCTAGGTGCCCGCGGCCCCGCGCTGCGGCGTCGTAGTTTGCGAGTCACGAGAAAAGAGCCCGCATGCGCGCTGCTGCGTGCGCGACGCTCGAGGCGTGCCCGATCGGCACGTATTACCCGGAAATCCGCCATCTGACGTCGGGTTGCCCTCAGCGCGACCAGGGCTTGTTCGCGCCCAGCAGTGGGGCCGCGGAACGCGAGTGCTCCAAGCCGGGCCGCCGGTCCGACCAGGGTCGGGACGCCAAGTGATGGTGTCCTGAGGGTCAGCCTTCCGGCGCGGTGCGCGACGCGTGGGAGCAATTCCCGCCGGGAAAGTTCGCAAGCGGGACTTGTTCGATTGTGTGCGAGGATGTAGTGCCGCTGGGGACTCACCCCAGATCCGAGTGGCAGAAGAAAGTGGGGTCGACTGCGCCGACATTCGCGCGTAAGTATCCCGCGTAAACTCGCGCGTGAGCGCCTTCGTCTCCTCGCGGTGTACCACGCTGGCGGCCCGCGTAAGCCGCGGCGTAGGGTCGCTGTGTCTTCTCGCGTAAGACCCCTCTCTTGTCGTCGCTGAACTGGCGCGGTGGAGTGCCAGCCGGGGTTCGAGCAGCCGCTGGCGGGGCCGACGGGCCGCATCTCGTGCCCCGTTGGCAAGTTCCACCGGCGACGCCGCCTCCGTGGGCTGCGAGTGCCCGGGCGATGGCAAGGAGCCCACAGTCGACGCCACGGGCACCCCGAGACTGTCCAGCCGGGTCAGGAGCGAGCTCGGCAAGACTACCGACTGCTTGGCGTGCACGTCCTGCGATGACGGGCGCTGCTCCGACGGAGTCCCCTGCGCATGGGACATTGGCGGTGCCGTGCTCGGGGGGCGACTTAGGGCCACCGCCCCCGCGCGCGTACCTTGTGCCGGATCAGCTTGTTCGTCGGGGTCGTGCGCAAAAACCGTGTCCCAAGGTGATGCGAATTTTGTACACAGCCCCCTCTCCACGGTCTTGTGCCAGACCAGCTTGTTTGTGTGTGTTGTACACATGCCATGTTCTTACGTGCGGTGGCTGTGCCATCCCTGCTACGCGGCACCGTCTGTCACGCCAATCCTGCGTCTGATGTCGTCGTATTCTGTGGTTCCGCCGATGCAGTACGTGTCACCCCGCGTCGAGGCCCGAGGATTTTGCTTTCGACGAGCCGACGTGTCCCTCCCTGCAGTCAGCGCCTCCGTGGCCGTGCCGCCACAGCGTGCAGCGGGCGTGTACCGCGGGCGCTCTGATTGCTGGTCGGGTCCGTGCGGCCTCCTCTTCCCTCTCATTGATTCCTCCCTCCTCTCGTCATCCCTACTCCCTCCTCGTCCTCCTCCTCCTCCTCCTCCTCCTCCTCCTCCTCCTCCTCCTCCTCCTCTCCTCCTCCTCCTTCCTCCTCCTCCTCCCTCCTCCTCCTCCTCCTCCTCCTCCTCCTCCTCCTCCTCCTCCCTGCCTCCTTCCCTCCCTCCCTCCTCCCCTCTCCTCCTCCTCCTCCTCCTCCTCCTCCTCCTCCTCCTCCTCCTCCTCCACTTCCCCTCGTCGTCGTCGTCGTCGTCGTCGTCGTCGTCGTCGTCGTCGTCGTCGTCATCATCATCATCATCATCATCATCATCATCATCATCATCATCATCATCATCATCATCATCATCATCATCATTCCCCCTCCCGCCGTTCTTCCTTCCCCTTCCACCCAGGGTCCGTCCAAGACTGGTAAGTCTTACGCAGCCGCGTCATGGCGACAAGGTGGTCCCACGATTGCTTAGAAGCAGGCGCAGTAGGAAGCACCAGGATGACGAGGAGGATGCTTTCTTCTCCTCCTCTCCTCCTCCTCCTCGGAGGCCTCGCAGATGACCGAGTCCTACGTGCCCGCCACGCCCAGCCAGACCCGTCCCAGGCGGGCCGCGGCGGGGCGCACCGCCAGAGCAGCACATCCTCCTCTTCCCTCCTCCTCCTCCTCCTCCTCCTCCTCCTCCTCCTCCTCCTCCTCCTCCTCCTCCTCCTCCTCCTCCTCCTCTCCTCCTCCCTCCCTCCTCCTCCTCCTCCTCCTCCTCCTCCTCTCCTCTCTCCTCCCTCCTCCTCCTCCTCCTCCTCCTCCTCCTCCTCCTCCTCCTCCTCCTCCTCCTCCCCTTCTCCGTAGCCGCCTGCGCTCAAGACGTCACGCTTTGGCGGGCCTGGCCCGCCGGCACCCAAACGGATGCCGCCGAGCCGCAGTCGGGCTCGGCAGGTTCCAGGTCTGCCCTCGCGCATCGGCGGGAGCGCAGGGCAGAGCCGCCGCCGTGAGCACGGGCTCCATGTTGGTCCGATCGATGTGCTTCGATGGCCATGCCTGCCGGCCCGATCCGAGTCGATTGCGAGATCCCGACGCAGCGGCGCGGCCCGATGCTTGCACGGCGCCGTTCTGCTTCCTGGCGCGGCCGGTCCGGCACGGTTTTGACTCCGTGCCGCTGCATCCCGGTCCGGTGCGCATTCGGGTTGGACCCGATTTCCCGATTCGATGCTGACTGTGCTGGCACCGTCGCGACGCCGAGCCACGCCGTGAACCTGAGGCGCGCCGCTCTGGACGTCGCGGCGACCGCGGGCAGCGCAGGCGGCGGCGGCGCCAGCCTGCAGTGCTGGGCCCGCCAGCTCTCCCTGCCCGGGTGCGGCTCCGTGCCTGCAGACCGCCCGCGAGGAGCCTGAAGGTCTGCACGGCCGGAGGGCTCTCCGGCCGCCCCGCGGCCCTGCGTCTCCTCGCCCTTCGCCCGCCGGCGCCCCGGGTGCCTCCGTCCGCGACGGATGCGTGCCGCCGTCTGCTTGGCCGCTTTGCCGGGCCCAGTTCGCCGCGCGCCAAAGAATGCCCCCCCCACGACGGGCTGGTCGCCTTCGCGGTGGACCTCAGCGGCCGCTGGGGCGCCGAGGCGGAGACTCGCAGGCGAATTTTCCTTCCCACCCCCCGACCTTTCAACGACAAATGAAAATGCTCAGAAAAGGGGGGAAACCCCAGGATACACCCCTGGAGGAGTGTTCGGACGCACCCCTTATCGAGGATGCATGCCCCCCATATCGTATATCCCAGGGTTGGGTCCCAAATTTCTAGTCGATTTGAAAACTCCCACAGCCTGGGATACGGTCGAGCATCTGATTAAGACACCTCCCCCTGAAAAGCTAGATCTGCAAATTGCCCAGACTTCTTGCATGAGGAGTTTCTCGGTCAGATTTCTGGCCGTAGGGGTCGGCAGAATCGCTCTTTAGAGACCTTGGCTCCGTCGCACCGTGGGCCCCCGTCCCGAGGGAGAGAGAGCGGCGAGGCTCGGGGGATCAGCTCTGGGCGGGCGCATTGCCCCTGCCCTCCGCCGAGCAGGCGGGGCCCGCAGCCTTCGCCGAGGCATGCCCCACGCTCCCCCTCCCAGCCAGAAGTGGCACACGATGTACGAACATGTTTTACTCCTATTCTTGTATTTTTCTTACCTGGACCCCCCCTCCCCCCCTAAACCGGACCCCCCCCAGGGACGCTCTGGACGCCCTTTCGGACGTCTCGGCGGCCACCTGGACGCCCTTGGAAAAGGTTCGGTGGCCCTTCCGGGCCTCCCAGGGCGCCTCGCTTTGCCTTGCGAGCGAAGACGATCAGAGGGGTTGTCGGAGAGTCGCAAGAGAGACCCAAGACAGTACAAGAGCGCTCCAAGAGGAACCTCGATGGTCTGAAGACGGCCCAAGAGGCCCCCAAGACACCCCAAGAGGCCGTTGAGAGAGCCCCGAAGAAGCCAACATCGTCACATTCTCTCAGGAAATACATTTGCTTTGAATCTCCGCTTTTTGGGTCTTCGCAGCGTCCAAGATGGCCCAATGGCCCCCCGATCTCGCCCCAAGACGGCCCAAGCGGTCCCCTTGAGCGTTTGAAGATGGCCCAAAAGGGCCCCAAGACTGCCCCAGAGAGCCCCGAGACTGCCCACAAGAAACCCAAGATGCCCCCAGAAGGCTCCCAAGAGAGACCCACGAAAGCCATGGGATACCTCCAAGAAGGCCAGTGGAGGCCCGCAAGAGGGCCCTAGATGGCTTCAGAAAACCTCTGGAGGGCCACAGCTCCCCAAGACGGCCCAAGAAGCCCCCAGGACGGCCCAAGACTGCCCCAGGACGGCCCAAAAGAGCCAAGAAAACGACCAGACGGCGTTCTCCTACGAAATACATCAAGCTGACCCGACGATCTTGGTTCCACGCTTGAGGCTCGAGGTTTCAGTAGTTCCCCCATCGAGAGAGACAGGCAATGGATGTAGATTTGAAGTTCGACGATCGAAGATTTCTTGCGTGTCTGGAGCCCTCCAAGCACTCAGGAAGCGACCGAACATCGATGTGTGCGGAGCTACTGTGACTTCTTCGGTGTGTCATGGGAACGCTCCTTACTTCCTCAAAAGACCTTCGCGCGTGAAGCAATCAGTATTGTTTCCCCATTCCTGCGCACAAGCGTGCAAGCGCATCGTCCGAACGCGGTGTGAGCAGGCACCAGGGATATCGGAAAAATGGGCGGATCGCCCGTCCAGGCCTCGAGGTTTTCCCTGCTGAAGCAAGCAATGACTTACTGCTTTGCCAAAAAACGCCCGGAACAAGGCGCATGGCGCGAAACGCCAATACAGTCTTGTACATCTATCTATAGATAGATGTATATGTATGCGTGTATATAGATGTACAATCTGCATCAATACGCATATACATGTGTTCTCCTTTGTAAAAAGAAGAATAAACTCTACCGCCCCTCTAATCGCACTGATGGGGGTCGTGCGTGTGCGACGTCGTTTCCCCCCCTCTCCTCCTCCTGTCCTCCCTCCTCCTCGCCCTCTTTCCCCCCTCTGGTGGGCGTTTAAGCTGTAGGGCAATCCACGGCTGCCGCCAGGGCTCGATCCTTTGCTTGATTTTGTAGTTTCGCCCTCTACCCGAGCCTGGGGCCATTGCAGGATTTGTTGTAGCGTGTCTGGATGGAGCACTTGTGTTCTATATAAACGGCTGGTAGCCTTCAGGGGTCGGCACACAATGCATTTGTCCGGATCGCTTGTCCTCCTCCCCTCCTTCCTCTCCTCGCCTCGGACGTCGCTGGAACTCTGCCGCTCCCTCCTCGGTGCATTTGGTGCCGGAGTTTGAGTTTTGCGGTTCGCTTCAGTTGACGTTCCAGCTTTCCTGGCGCAGCGTCGTTCGGGAGCACTGCCCTTTGTGATCTGAGGCAGGCTGGCCAGAGGATTCATCATCTGAGCGGGGTTTGCGTCGCGTTGGAAAAAAGAAACAAAACTTTACCCCCCGGGCGTTATCGGTCCCCCTTTTCGGGTATGTAAATCATATATGATTCTGACCACATGTCCATCCGAAATATGAATTTACACTATGCCCCGGGGGCCGGTATCGCTCCCATCTGAGGTCCCCTTGTTAAAAACAATACGCGGGAACATTTTTGTTGTTCTAACATAAGACTTTTCAATAATCCCCTGCAAACAATGAGACGAAGTGCGCACGCGCGCGTCGTCGCGCGCGTATGCCGAAATCCTTCAGAACCCATCGGTTTCGGCACGATTTCGCAATCGAGCTTCCAAACAACATACAAATGCGCAGGGTTTCGCAATACAGATTTGCTTAAAAAGCTTACGCGCGAGCTCTTGCGGAATCTTAAGAAAACCATAGTTTTTTATTTTCGCACGTGCTACCCAACGGGCTTCGCGCGCGCATGTCGAAATCTGTCGAACGCCCTTGTGCGTGTGCCGTCGCAGGAATCCTCTGCAACAGATGGGACGAAGTGCAGACGCGCGCGTCGTTGCGCGCGTATGCCGAAATCCTTCAGAACCCACCGGTTTCGGAAGGATTTCAAAATCGTATGTTCAAAAGACCTACAAATACACAAGGTTTCGCATTCGCAACACGGATGTTCAACAAAAGCGTGCGCGCGCGCGTTCTTGCGTCGTCGTCGTCGTCCTCGTCGTCGTCGCCGTCCTCCTTCCGCCCGCATCGTCGTCGTCGTCGCCTACGTCGTCTTCTGTCTTTCTTCGTGTTCGTCGTCGTCGTCGTCCTCTTTGGCGTCGAGGTCGTTTCCGTCGTCGTTGTCGCCGTGGTCGTCCTTCCTCCTCATCCCTCGTCGTCGTCGTCGTCCGTTGTCGGCGTCTCGTCGTCGTCGTCTCTCCTATTTCGTCGCCGTCGTCGTCGTCGTCGTTGTCGTCGTCGTCGTCGTCTTCCCTCCTCCCTCGTCGTTGTCGTCGTCGGCGTCGCCGTCCTTCCTCCTTCGTCGTTCGCGTCGTCGCCGTCCTCCCTCCTCCCTCGTCGTTGTCGTCGTTGTCGTCGTTGTCGCCGTCGTCGTCCTCCCTCCTCCCTCGTCGTCGTCTTCGTTGGCGACGTCGTCGTCGTCTTCGTCGTCGTCGTCGGCGTCGGCGTCGTCGTCGTCGTCGTCGTCGTCGTCGACGTCGGCGTCGTCGTCGTCGCCGCCGTCGTCGTCGTCGTCGTCGTCGGCGTCGTTGACGTCGTCGTCGTCGTCGTCGTCGGTGTCGTCGTTGTCGTCGTCGTCGCCGGCGTCGTCATCGTCGTCGTCATTGACATCGTCGTCGTCGGCGGCGTCGGCGTCGGCGTCGTCGTCGTCGGTGTCGTCGTCGTCGTTGTCGGCGTCGTCGAAGTCGTTGGAGACGTCGTCGGTGTCGTCGTAGTTATTGTCGGCGGCGTCGTCGTCGTCGTTGTCGCTGTCGTCGTCGGCGTCGCTGTCGTTGCCAAGTGCCATTTGGTTTCCACCGTCACGGTCTTAAGAGATGTTGCAAATCAAGTTGCGGGTGGGTGGGTGGGATGTTTGCGCGAGCAGTGGAGGTGGTCAAGCACGGTGCAGGGTAGTCAACACATATACATACAATTCTGTTCATGCATGATCAGTATTACATGATCCATGGGCGGCGGCGGCGG